CAGACAATTATTTGTATGTTTCATGACATAATACTAACATTTTTAACAAATGTGCTCTGTGATTTATGGAGCAAAAAGAAAAAAAAGAGAGAGAGAAAAAAAGAGAGAGACATTCACTACCCTAAAGAGCTTAGTTTGGGTTTTTCAAATGAGTCTAAGCAATTACACACCCAGCTTGCACTGACAATTCAATGAGAGTTTGTGCTTCTCATTTCAAAGACTGAAAATCTGAGCATTAACAGCATGTGTTGCCAATAAGCTTCCCTTCCCCCAAAGTTGTCCCAAAAACTACAATAGCAAAACAGGCCAAAAAATTTCATACACCAAGCTGGTCAGCTAAGTGTCAAGCACCACTCCTTCAAAAATAATAACACCTTTCAGGGAGTGAGGGCTAAAGAAACCTTACCTGAAATATTCAAGGTGACTTGATCAACTCCTCACGTGTCTCAGGTAATATCTTAAGGACCTCAGTGGATCTTACCATGGTTCTTTTAGTACCAAAGTTCTTCAAACAAAATGATAAAATGACTACCATCTCTCTGTCATAGGTTGGAAGCAAAAAAAAGAGGTAAAATGAGGAAAACTACTCAGCAATAATCTGTATATTGTCTATTATCACAGATCTCACCATTATCCCTAATAAAGAACAGTAAGTTTTGTTGTATATCTTAGTTCCATACAGCATATGATCTCTCCCTCTCTCTCTCTCTCTGAGACAACAGGTGCAAACAACAAATGTGGGAAACATCCAGGTAACAATGACACAGTTTGGAGTAGCATCATATGTAACAATCACAGCATGCCACTTGTTTAACCATTGTCAAGGGCCTTGTGGGCATTGTGGTGCCAATGGGTTTTAAGGGTAGATTTAAAGGAGAACAACATAACTGCCTTGCAGCTTTTTTTTTTTTCTGGGGAGCATTTCCTGGCATAAAAAGGGGTGATGGAAGAAGGCTGGAAAGTAGGGCTGTACGAAGCTTCAGGTGCTGATTTGATTTGGAGGAGATTTGGCCCAATTCGGTAGCCAACTCTCTGAATCCAAATCAAACCAGGAGACAAATTAAAAGGTCCAAATTGATTTGAAGCTGTCTGAATTGATTCAGAAACAATTCGGAGACCTTCAGTGATTTGGGCAGTCCCTGCTCACTGCAGCAGGGAGCTGGACCCAGACTCCGTGCTGGTAAGTAGGGGTGAGGGGAGAGGGAGCTGGAGGAGTGGGGAGAGGACCATGGGGGGACCCCTGCCAGGCCCCATCCCCTGCCTGATCCCCCCACCCCCCTTGAGTTGG